ATCAAATTTGACTGTTGAATTAATTGTTTTCTACAAATAAATAGTTACTTTTTACTAATTGAAATAGGGTTAATTCCTTCACGATCTTACTATTAATTAGTAGTTTTCTATTTTAAATTTAGAGGGTGGCGAATTAGATAAATAGAAATGATTAAAATTCTATTAACATAATCATTATAATTTACTAACAATTAGTCATATTTTGAAAATCAAAATAGGGAAAAGTTGTGTATGAAAATGACTAACAAATTAGTGAAATTTTATTACTTGTTAATCGTTACTAGTTTTTTATTAAACTAGTTTTGGAGAGAACTCTACACGCCTAAAAATTAAGCTATTTTCTGAAATTTTTTTAATGATCTCTATAGATTATATTGATCTAAATCTTTTTTTGATCAAGAATCACTCTTTAACTATATTAAAATCTTTGTTTTATTCGAAAAAAATTAATTTTTTATTTGAAATTTAACAATACTTTTAGATCTGCTAAAAATAACAATCCTAGCTGTGCAAATTTTTTTTTGTTTTATTTTTAAAAAATTTTTCGTATTAGACATTAAACTTTTTTCTGACTTTAAAGTCAGAAAGAAGTTTAGAAGAAGACTTTAACTATGAAAGTTATATTCAATTGAATATAACTTTCAAAGTTAAAGTCAAAGACAGTGTGAAAGTCAAAATTAAAGTCTTTAAAGTTAATGTTAATGTTTAAATAGAATCAAAAGTCTGCTGTTAAATGGAAAAAAATTGAAAAAACATATTTTGCAAGTCGTTTTTTAATATTCAGTAGTTTATAATTTCCTTTAAAGAAAAGAATAATATAATATGAGTAGAATAGTATAGGATGTAAACACATTATACTGATAAGAGATATTATATGGAATTTTTTTGGAATTGCATGGAAAAGCTTCTATTTTGCCATAAAGTTTCTCTCATAAAAAAAAATTGTGACACACATTCTATTATATATCAGTTAAAATTTTGATTCATTAGGGGAGGGTTCCTATCGTGATGTTGATAATTTCATAATTTACGAACAATAATGGGCTTAGTAAAAGAGGCAGGTCAAATAACGAGGATATAATGCGATACAGCTGTACGATATCACTCGTGAACATTACCGAAGCAACAATCGTTTTTGACGCCCACAAAAGTAAAGCTCCACTGATTATACTCTTTTGTTGAAAAGCTTGTTTTCTAACACAATATCAAACTTTTGTCGCACACAATCTCTCGCATCTTTATATGAGAGTTTGACAAAAAAAATAAACATTTTCTATCCTAATAAACATTCTAAATTAGAATCTCTTCATTTATCATAATCACAATTAATTTCGATAAATCGAAATTCCCCCAAACTTTTGTTCGCTTTTTTATTAATTTTTTATATGTTGGTTTTTTCTCTCATAGTTTGTTTGTTTTTTGAGAAGAAAAATAATTAACAGAAACATTTTGCTTTTGTTGAAAAAACAAAAGTGTGAAAATTTGCGATCAGGAAAATTATTATCTCGTCAGCGTATTTTTTTTTTTTTTTTTCATGGTACATCGAAAAAAAAAAGTTTTTTTCGCAGAGCATGCGGATAGGTAAATGAGACGTATTGTTTGGTGTACGTCAATAGATCTTCTTTGGTAAATCGAATTTCACTTTGTTTAGCGCAGTCTAGCCAATATTCCGTATTCCGTTCGATGCGTGGCGCCGTCGCCATATCAAAATAGAACATGCCACAATAACTTATTCGGCCGAACAAAATGGGGTAGTATTTTATAGAGTCCCGTTGGGTTACATACGATGAATACGTCAACGGCTGTGAACATGTGACTGGAATATCATAATCCGTCAACGAAGTCGTGGCACGTGAATCGCGCCTTTTTTTCCCTCCGGGATAATCGTCAAACATTTATTTTTCCTGATAACTTTCATTCATGAAATTCGCCATTTTTTTTCTTCTTCTGTATTGTGTTTGTGTTTCTTCTGTATTTGTGTTTCTTCCATGTGTGTTTGTAGATGTATACACATATACTTTTTGTATATAAAATACCCTATATTTTATACAGTTTCCAAATAGAGGACTATATAGATTGCATCAATAAAATATATGTACGATACAAGCGTTTTAATTAACGGAATTTTTGAAATAGGCTTATTTTTGTATAAGAGGATTTTTTAGTTATTTGGCAAAATTTGAAGCTGTTGAGTCAGTTAATGTTATTGCAGGCCTCGGACACACGCGACCATTTTTTTTCACCTCATACAACTATTTAGCTACTATTTTGACCAATAAATTACTAATGACTCTTATTTCGTTAAAAACAACTAATGACACTATTTCTTAAAACAAGATTTTAAATATCAATTTATCTAGTGAAGAAATTAATTCTAACCAAAAAATTGAAGGGGATACAAATATCGAAAAAGAAAGTAAATTAAAAATTGAAATCCGTTTGTAATAATTGTTAAACTTTCTAAATTTGATTATAAAAAAATTATAAAATTACAAAAGTTTCGAGATTCAATATGGCGATGCTACTCTCTACCTGCGAACGCCAAGGTCACCGCTAGATGGCAGCTCAGTTGATGAAATCAGTTTCTTCGCCACCTGGTGGCGATCTTGGCGTTCTCAAGTGGAGAAATTAAACCACCATTTAATTTATTATTAATTACTAATTAATAGTAATTCATTATTAATTAATAATAATGCATTATTAATTAGTAATAATAATTTATTATCAATTAATTCAGTATAAGTAAAAAATAAATGTATATTTATTATGAAATATACTTTTTGTAACAAATTTATTCTATACGAAAAGCGTATCCTACTGGTATTTGTGAATGACAAACAGATTTATGATTCATGAGTGCGCGGTTTGGCGAGGGGCGGTGGGGGGTGGGAGGGAGGGAGGGATATTGTAAAGGAATAATCGAAACTAAATCACAATAATACTATATGGTATAGTGAGTTATTAATCATAATGGAAAAATAATTATCGAACTAACAGTAATGCTTGGACAGTCGTTTCTAATAAATCGACCAGCAGTCAATGAATCGCTTCTAATTGTGAAGAATGGTTGGGCATTTATATCGACGATTGCTGATTCGAGACTATCGATGTATATCCGGCAACAAGTTTCTATTATCATTCACCGACTGCAACTATTCGATATGCTTTATTATATTTTACAGAAATTTTTCAACATTTCATTAAGCTTTATCCATTTATATAAATAATTATTCATTTTTGATTGTGGTGTTTATATTCCCAATTAATATTATTAACTAGCAACAATTCGCAAGCTTACGCGTACGGCTGACTTCTCTCTCAGTTTTTTAAATAAAAGTAACAATTTTAAAAATAATGGAACGTAAAAATTTATCATTCAAATTTTTTTTATAAAAATAAAATATGAATTGGAATGTAAAGTTTTAATATTATTATAATTATAATAATTATATATTCTGACATAGAGAATTCAGGGAAAAGTCAGGAATTTTTATTATAAAAGTACTAAAAAAATTAAATTTTTAGAATTCATGAGAAAATTCTGAATTTTGGTGTCTTTTTTGTTTGACTCATAAACTATAAAATTAACGACGAGTTTGAATACAAAACCTTCAATTTTTTCCATTTCTGACAAAAATTTCTTTTTAAATAACTTAAATCTTGAACAACTGTCATAAAAAAAATAAATTATTCAATGAATAATTTTACTTAAATATTTCAAAATTAATTCAATTTTAAAAAAGTTACGTTTACAATTTTTATAAATAAATGAACTTCAAACGGTTTCAATTTGAAATTTTAGAAAATTTCAATGTTGAATGAATCTAATTAAAAATTTAAATGAACTTAGATTTTTGAAAGATTTTAATTATTCAAATAAAGTTTTATTTGATACAAATAAATAATCTAGTTCGCTCTTAGACTTTTATTTAACTCAATAAGTGAATTATATTTAGTTTAAATATAATGTTTCTCTGGGTTTAGAACTAATAAATTAATTTTATTGTTAAACAACTTAGACTTTTGATTGGTATTAATAAATCTGTTTAGGTATCAAAAAAAATTGTAATAAGAACAAACAAAATTGATAACAATTTTTTATTCTTTGTGCCCCTTTGATCAAAAATATTAAAATAATACAAAAAAAATTAATTTGCAACTGAAAAAAGAAAAAGGATTAAAATTAAACTGTTTACTATTTTTGCTACATGATTTTGCACATGTATCGCGATTATGCAGTTTTTCTTTATCGTCGCACATAAAAGTGTGAACTTTTCTTGAATATAAATAAATATGGAAAAATTGAGATACGTTTCTAAGAAATGTTATCACTTGAGATGAGTGTTGAGATTACATATATGTGACGTCAGGGATATCTATAGACATTGAGATACAATAGTGAACTGTCACTATTATGGGGGGACATTGTACTGAAGACTGAACCGATATGAGTTGCGCGTGGCCCGGGGTGGTACAAGAGCAATATCGGAGCTTTGACCCTTCGTGTCCACCTTTTCATTTGGCACATAGTCGCAACATTCGCCTCAAGAGTAAAAGACTGATACAAAAACTTGATTTCTTCGTTTGTTTTCACTCCAAGCAAAACTCTGTCCCCCAAAAATCGTGCGGGAAGAAAATAAGTTGCGGACATTCGGCAAAAAAAAAAATCAATCAACTTTCTTATACATTTTTTTCTATACGAGCTTTTAAGGTTTAGTAGGGAATTTTTGTTTTCTTTTATTTTTATTCTCTGAAGGTTGGAATTATCTTTTTGAAAGTTTTATGCTTGCTTCATTTTTCTCCGTTTATCAATTTGAGACAAAAAATCGTATCAAAATTTTGCATCACAACAATTTTGATATGTTTTGTTTGTCTCAATTTAAATTTTAATAGTACAAAGTATATTATTTATAATAATTTATGTTGATGAGTAGGTATTTAATTAAAATTAATTCAATAGTTTTAAAAAAGGAATACTTCCTTAAAATGTTGTTGGTGAACAATGATTGTGCGATTCTTTTTTAATAAATTATCACGTTTTAATGAGTTAATGATGACTTGCTTAGTATTTGTAAATAAAAACGACAGTTGCAGTTGATAATACTTCAGTTCTCATTGATTGTACCCACGTGTAGCCACGAGTTAAAGTGTATATATGCAATGATAAAAATAATTAATTAATTTAAACAACAGTGATATTTTTTCATAACGCGGTGCAAAAAAGGGCACTTTTTTGCACCTTGTTATGAAAAATATCGTTCGTAACTAGTGCTAGCAGTTGCCAATTTTTGAATGAGCACTTTTTTTGGAACAAACTGTAGGCGAAGCTTCGCTTCGCCTACAGTTTGTTCCAAAAAAAGTGCTCATTCAAAAATTGACAATTGCTCGCACTCGTTACGAAATATACTATACTATTATTAGTTATTTTATAGTTCACTTTAATGTGCACATAGTAATAGCAAATAATAATGTGGGAATTATTTGAAGTTTTATTCTCCTCGAAATTATTTTGGAGTACATCTTTTGTATTTGCTATTTATTTCTATCTTAAATTGGTAACGTACAATTATTTCAAAAAGAATGACATCCCAGCGGAGGATTATGTGATACCTTTTGGAAGTTTATTACCTATTGCTACGGGACAAAAATGCATTGGTCACTTGATTCTGGAAAGTTATAAACGTTTTAAATCACATCCCTATCATGGATTATATATGCTTCATGTGCCACAATTAATAATCAATGATCCTGAATTAATTCGTCACATTATGGTGAAGGATTTTAATACTTTTCAAGATCGTGGCTTGTATTTTAATAAGGAAGTTGATCCACTGTCAGCACATTTATTCTTTCTTCCTGGCGATGAGTGGAAACATCTTAGAACAAAACTTTCGCCAACTTTTACATCGGGGAAAATAAAACAATTGTTTCCGTTAGTGGAAAAAGTTGGTGTGGAATTGGTAAAGGAGTTGAATAATTGTGTTGATAAATCGAATATTGTGGAAATTAAGGATATATTAAGCAGGTAGGTTTCTATTCTCATTTTTTCTTTGTAAATACTTTCTTAATTTTTATATTTTTTCTTAGTTTACTACAGGAATGACAGACAATTGTCAACTTAATATTAAATACAAAGAAAAACAATACTGTGATCCCTGTATAATAATAAAAATTTGTTTATGATTTTCTCTATACTTTTAAAAATACTAAATAACCTGTGGAAAAAATATGAATGAAATATTAATGAATTTTTCTATTTAGATTTACAACTGATGTAATTTCCTCCATTGCATTTGGCTTGGAGTGTAACAGTCTAAAAAATCCAGAAGCAGATTTTCGTGTGTTTGGAAAAAAATCTGTTAGTGTTCATCCAATTAAAACGTCACTATTATTCTTTTGCTCTACAATTCTCGATATTTTGAAAATTCCTCTTACTCCTCATAGTGTAACAAAATTTTTTCTATCAGTATTCACTGAAGTAATTGATCACAGACGTAAAAATTATACAGTGAGAAAAGATTTTCTCAATTTATTAATTCAACTTATGGATAACGGAGAAGTTGAGGATGATGTTGATACGAAAAATTCGCAAAAGAAACAAAACTCTGGTAATTATTGTAATTATGATGTTGTTAATTTACAGATAATTATTTTTTATTAATTACTCTATAGAGTACATTTATATTATTATGTAATAATCTTTATTATTTAGGGTTGCCACAAAAATTTAATTTTGTTTTTCCCTAACTTTTCCCTGATTTCCAGAAAAAATTTTAACTTCTTCCCTGACCCTGAAAATTATTCTGATTCACTCCAAAAATTATTAGATTTTAAAAAAAAATCTACTAGAATTCAATTATTTAAATACAAAAATAATTCATTTATTAAATAATTTAATATTTCTTAAAATTAAATTTTTATAAAGAATTTTATCAGAAATTTTTTAAAATATTTAAATTTTTTCGATGTATTTAAAAAAATTTTTTTTAAATAAATGCAATTTTCTATCATTTTTAGGGTTCCGTACACCTACGGTGTATCGGCGGAACCCTATTGGTGAGACTATGTTGTCCGTAGCCAAATCGATCCCCCCCCCCCCTTAGCGGCTAAACTATTTGACTTAGAGAGCTCAAATTTGGTACAGATATATGTATTTTCATACGTAGATTACAGGAAAAATATAGAGAATGTGTTTGGAGATGATGGTCATAGCGTTGTCAAGGAAATAACAAGATTTTTGGCCAAAAATGCATAAATAGTGACCATTCCCCCCCCCCTTAACTTCTAAACTATTCAACATGGAGGGCTAAAATTTGGCATACTGGTGTATTTTTACTCGAATATTACAGGAAAAATATAGAAAACTTGCTATGTATTAATGTCCATAGCGTTGTCAAGGAAAAACTAAAAAAAATTTTGAAATTTTTTTTTTCTTCTAATTTCTACATTATTTGATCTAATTAACTAAAAATGGGTTTATTAGTCTATTTTTACAGTCTGATCACAAAAAATATATTTAAAAATCTAAAAAAAAAAAAATTAAAAAAATTTTTTTTTTTTAGATTTTTTAACAAAAAAATTTTCAAAATTAGTTCCTCTACTTATTATTGTTTACAATATTAGATATATACAATACTTTAATTTTTTTATTTATTTTTTTTATCAAATGATATTAATATATTTTTTTAATTGTTTATTTTAATTCTACCAATTACCGATAAATGTTGCAAGTATTGTTTTAATATTTGTGTACGGAACCCGCCATTGCAGTGCGAGTTCAACTCGCACTTGTCCAATTTTTTTTTTAAAAGTTGTACAAAAAATAATTGAATTATTTAGGAAAATTTTATTAAAATTGCTGTTTTGTTAACTAAATCTTGTAAATAATTTTGTCAACATTTTTTTAAATAATAGAATTTATAAAAGAAGTTTACTTAAATTTTTCGAAATACTTAAATTTCTCAGAAATTTTGTTTTAATTTTCTGAATGTATTTGAATTTTTTCAAGAAACCTTATTAAAAAATTAAAAGTAATTGAATTGATGCCAAGAGATTTATAAAAAATTGATAAGTAGGAATTGAAATTCTGTGAAATTTTTATTAAGGGCATTTGAACTATTATGACGTCACAATTTTAGAACACATGCTTTGCACAAATTGTGACGTCATAATGATTCAAATGCCCTGAATATTTTGTTTAAATATTTGAATTTTTTAGAAAAATTTTATTAAAATACTAGATATTATAAATAATTGATATGAGAAAAATTTTTGAAAATAATTGAAATTTTGCCAAGAATTTTATTAAATTTTATGAAAATAATTGAATTTCGGAGAAGAATTTTATTATTTATAAAGATAATTGAATTATTGCAATGAATATTATTATTTTGTTAAATAATTGAATGTTTCTTAAAATTGAATCCTTAGTCAAGTTTTAATACAGTTTTTAAGAATAATTTCATTTTTTTAGGAACTTATTTAAAATAAAATTTTATTATTTATGACAATAATTGAATTTTGCTAAGAATTTTTTTTTAATTCTTAAAAAGAATTGAATTTTTGTGAAGAATTTTGTTATTTATCAGGCAATTGCGTTAAAACTTTTGAAATAATTAAATAATATTTATTCAAATTTTTTTAAATAATTTGAATTACCATAAAAAATGTATTATTTAGGAAAATAATTAAATTCTTAAGAAGAATTGTATTGAAAATAATTTAATTATATAAAGAAATTTGATTAAAATTGCAATTTTATTAACTAAATCTTGTAAAGAATTTTGTCAACTTTTTTTTAAATAATAGAATTTTTAAAAGAAGTTTAAAATTTTTCGAAATAATTGAATATTTCAGAACTATTTTTTTTCACTTATCTGAATATATTTGAATTCCTTCAAGAAACTTCATTAAAAAAATGAAAAATAATTGAAATCGTGCGAAGAAATTTTAAAAAATTTGATAAGTATAATTGAATTCTTGTGAAATTTTTATTAATATTTTGTTTGAATAATTCTTTTAGAAAATAATCGAATTTATGTGAAGAAGTGTATCACTTTTTAAAATAATTAAATTTCTGTAATCAGTTGTTCTTAAAATTTCTATTTAAATTCATTAAAAATTGATATTTTCTAAAATTTTAAATTGAAACCTTTGAAGTTCATATAACCTATTTATGAAGATTGTGAACGCAACTCTTTTGAAATCCAATTAATTTTGAAATTTTTAAGTGAAATTATTCACTAAATAATTTATAAGTTATAATTTTATGATAGTTGTTCAAGAATTAAGTTATTTAAAAAGTTGTTATTATCAGAAATAGAATAAATTGAAGTGTTTGTATTAGAATTCTTTGCAATTTCATAGCTTATGGGGGAAACAAAAAAGGCACCAAAATTCAGAATTTTTTTATAAAATCAAAAATTTAAATTTTTTCCAGTACTTCTAATAAAAATCCTTGACTTTTCCCTGATTTCCCTGACTTGTGGCAACCCTGTTATTATTGTTATTATGCAATAATTGTGTTTAGTATAAATTAAAAAAATTGTTCCAGTTAAAAATATTGAGAAAATTAGCATGATAGAGGCATGTGCACAAAGTTTTGTATTTTTTGTCGCTGGTTTTGAAACTTCGTCAACAACGACTACATATTGTTTGCATGAATTGGCACAAAATCAAGAAATTCAAGACAAATTACGAAAGGAAGTTAATGATACAATGGGAGATCGGAGGACAATAACTTATGAGGATGTTTACGCTATGAGCTATCTTGATAAAGTTGTGTCAGGTATAGTATACTTATTTTATTATTTTTATTATTGAACTAAAATATTTAAATGTCACTTCAGTAAATAATGAACTTTATTATTGTTATATAATATTATTATTATTATTTTAAAAGTTCTCTTTATCTAATTTTTATTAATTTATACAATTTATTGTAGAAACATTGAGAAAACATCCAATTGTTCCGATTTTGAACCGTATCGCTCTGAAGGATTATAAAATTCCTAATTCCGATTTTTGCATTAAAGAAGGAATGCAAATAATTATTCCCGTATTGGGTCTGCATACTGATCCAAATTTCTATCCAAATCCTGAAGAATTCAGACCAGAGCGATTTGATGCGGACCAAGTGGCGAAAAGACACACATTTACTTATATACCATTTGGAGAAGGACCAAGAATTTGCATAGGTATTGGTAGTAAATTTTAGTAAAAATAACTTTTAACTACTTTGAACTTAGAAAATTTAAAAGTTGTAAAAATGACCAGAAATGAGTAACTAATTACTTTTTATAACAATTAATAATATATCGTTAGTTATAACATGCGGTATACAAATTTTATTTTAATTAATATTATCGTTGTTTCAGGAAAGCGATTTGGATTATTACAAGTTAAAGTTGCTGTAATTGAGATACTGTTAAATTTTAAAGTAAACTTTTGTGGAAAAACTGAAAATCCATTGAAGCCCACAACTCGTAATTTGCTTCTTGCGCCAGAAAATGACGTATTCCTTGAATTTCAGAGGTTAAAATAAATTTTTTTTAGTACGATCATTATTTTTGTATCATTTTATTATTTTTATCATTATTGTTTAAAGTGTTAATTACTATTTTTATCAATACTTTTAAAATAATGCTGATAAATTTTCTTGAATAAACGATTTTTCCACACGTGTCGTTTTTTTTCCTCTAATCAATGTATTAGTCAAGTAAAATAATTTCTTACAATTATTTTATGCGATTTATACGGTTTAATGATCTGTTTCTAATTGTTAATGGTGCAAAAACCATCTAATAGTATAATATGACAATTATGTATCTAGAGGAAATTTTAACACTTTTGTTACGTGTTCAGTAATAATTGAATTTAAAATACAGTTTTTTTCTAATTTTTATTTTTTATTTAAGTTATAAAGATTTTTTACAATGGAACGAAGATGAAGTCATCACTTGTCATAGTGGGTTGACTGTTACGTAAAACGAGCATTGTTGTTGATATTATACTTCAGTTCTCGAGGAACGTAGCTAGTTGGAGTATGTGCAAATAGTTTCCTATATTGAAATTTTAATTTACCACTACTGGAATTTTTTAAAAGGTGTATTATTTTTTACACCTTTTTAAAATAAATTTAAAGTTTTTTGAATTTGGTTGAGTGCATATATGCGATAAATTTGTAAATGTGATAATCATGTGGGAATTGATAGAAAATTTATTGTATTCTAAATTATTTTTTAGCACAATTTTTGTATTTGCCATTTATTTATATCTTAAATTCGTAACTTTTAATTATTTCAAAAAGAATCATATACCGGAGGAGAAGATTGTTATTCCTTTTGGATGTTTATTGCCTATTGCAACAGGAAAAACGTGTCTCGGTAAAAATATTTTACGTTTGTTGAATATAAATCATATTTTGATTTAAAACAAAATATTTTATTCACATTTTATTATTTACTTATTATTTATTTGTTAATTACTTATTTATTATTTTTTTTATCATTTAATTATTATTTACAACTAAATAATAGTCTGACAATAATAAAAAATTTTATTTCATTTAAATTTAAACTTCGATGAGAAATTTATTGTTTATTTTTAAGGTCTCTTTATAAAGGACAGTTACGAACGACACAAAGTAAATCCTTATCATGGATTATACATGCTTCATATGCCACATTTGATAATTAATGATCCTGAATTAATTCGACTGATTATGGTGAAGGATTTTAATTATTTTCACGATCGTGGTCTATATTTTAATAAAGAAATTGATCCATTAACGGGTCATTTATTCTTTTTGCCTGGCGAGGAATGGAAACATCTTAGATCCAAACTTTCGCCAACTTTTACATCGGGGAAAATAAAACAATTGTTTCCATTAGTGGAAAAAGTTGGCGATGATTTAATAAGAGAATTTGATAATTGCATTCGAATATCGAAAACAGTGGAAATTAAGGATCTAATGGGCAGGTTTGTTACTTAAGGATGAACAAAATTCACTGATTTAATATATTAGTGAATTAGTAAAAAATTAATTAAAAATAAAATAAATAAAAAAAGAAAATACAAAATTTGAAAAAGTGAAAAAAATACAAATAAAAAAAAATAATAAAACAAGTAGAATAAAAAACAAATTTAAAAATCAAATACTGAAAGTAAAATAGTGATTTTTAAAATTTAAAATTAAAAAAAAATGATTTGTGATATTATTACTTAGATTCACAACTGACGTGATTGCTACTATTGCATTTGGTTTGGAGTGCAACAGTTTAAAAAATCCAGACGCAGATTTTCGTGTTTTTGGGAAAAAGTCTTTGGACATTAATCCAATTAAAATGACATTTACAATGTTCGGTTCTCAACTATTAAATTGTTTCAAAGTGCCCCTTACTGATAAGGATGTCACACATTTTTTTTGTACAGTTTTTAGTGATGTAATAGAACATAGACGTAAAAATTATACAGTGAGAAAGGATTTTCTTAATTTATTGATTCAGCTTATTGATCATGGAGAAGTTGAGGATGATGAAGATACGAAGAATTCACCAAAAAAACAAAAGACTGATGGTAATTATTTCTGTAATTTTTCTTTTCATTGAAATTTATTTGAGTATATACAGGGTTGCCACAGGTCAGGGAATTCAAGGAAAAGTCAGGGAAAAGTCGAGGATTTTTATTAAAAGTACTAAAAAAAATTTAATTTTTTGAATTTATAAGAAAATTCTGAATTTTGGTGTCTTTTTAATTTGTCTTATAAACTATGAAATTGCAAAGAATTCAAATACAAACCCTTCAATTTTTTCTATTTCTGATAATAATATTTTTTTAAATAAATTAATTCTTGAGGAACTATCATAAAATTATTACTTATAAATTATTTAATGAATAATTTTACTTAAAAATTTCAAAATTAATTAGATTTCAAAAGAGTTGCGTTTACAATCTTCATAAATAGATGAACTTCAAAGCATTCGATTTGAAATTTTAGAAAATATCAATTTTTAATGGATTTAAATAGAAATTTCAAGAACAACTGATTACAGAAATTCAATTATTTTCAAAAGTGATAAACTTCTTCGCATAAATTCAATAATGTTAAAAAATTTTAAAAAAATCTCATTAAAATTTCAATTATCTTTATAAATAATAAAATTCTTCTCCAAAATTCAATTATTTTTAAAAATTTAATAAAATTCTTGTCAAAATTTCAATTATTTTCAAAAATTTTCCTCATTTCAATTATATATAATATCTACTATTTTAATAAAATTTTCTAAAATAATCCAATTATTTAAACAAACTATTAATAAAAATTTCACAGAAATTTAATTATACTTATCAATTTTTTAAAAATTTCTTCGCACCAATTGAATTATTTTTAATTTTTTAATGAAGTTTCTCGAAGGAATTCAAATATATTCAGAAAATTAAAAAAAAAGTTCTGAGAAATTCAATTGTTTCAAAAAATTTAAATAATCTTCTTTTAAAAATTCTATTACTTAAAAAAAAGTTGACAAAATTCTTTACAAGATTTAGTTAATTAAATTGCAATTTTAATAAAATTTTCCTATATAATTTAGTGATGCCACTATAGAGTTCTCTTGTCCATGCAAAAAGTCGAGACGAGACGAGAATTTACGTGTTATCGTCTCGTCTCGCGGCATCACTAATATAATTCAATTATTTTCAATACAATTCTTCTCAAGAATTCAATTATTTTCACAAATATTACATTTTTTATGGGAATTCAATTATTTAAAAAAATTTGAATAAAATTCTTCACAAGAAATTAATTATTTTCATAAATAATATTTTTCTCCGGAATTCAATTATTTTCACAAATAAAATTCTTCACAGTAATTATATTCTTTAAACAATTTTTTTAATAAAATTCGTAGCAAGAATTCAATTATTTTTATAAATAACGAAACTTATCGCAGAATTTCATTAATTTTTTGTATAATTTTAATTAAAATGATAGAAAATTGCATTTATTCTTAAATTTTTTTTTTTTTAAATTTGCCGAAATAATTAAAGTATTTTTAAAATTTGTTGATAAAATTCTTCATAAAAATTCAATTTTAAGAAATATTCAATTATTTAATAAATTATTTATTTATGTATTTAAATAATTGAATGCACGCAGATTTTTCTAATAAAAATTGATTTGAAATTGAATTTATGTTTAGATTTTAGATAATAATTGAATATTAAAAGCATTAAAGCGTGAATTTTTAGAAATAATTGAATTTTGAAAAGGGTTTAAATTAAAATATTTGAAAATTTGAATTTACAGTTACAATATTCTGATGATATAAAATAACGATTTTATCACTCTGTCATCTTAAATTTGTTATAAAACATAACAATGTTTTTCATGTTCTATAATATTATTCTCAAAAGTTATTGAATTTCAGAAGGTTTGAATTTGAAAATCTTAATTCATAGAAAAATAATAGGTAATGATTAAATATTTATTTAAAAAAGAAATTATTGATGTTTTTGAATTTTAGAATTAAAGAAAATCGTAAATAAATTTAATACAACATTTTTTTGAAAATCTAATAATTTTTGGAGTGAATCAGAATAATTTTCAGGGTCAGGGAGAAAGTCAAAATTTTTTCTGGAAATCAGGGAAAAGTCAGGGAAAAACAAAATTAAATTTTTGTAGCAACCCTGATCCTATATATTTAATTGAGTGTCTATAATTAATAATTAATAATTATATACTTATTTTTATATTTAATTGAATTTCTGTACATTGTAATTTATTACTCTTGAATGACTAGGATAGTTTATCTATACATATAATTGTTTTCTGATTGCAAAGATTTTTTCGTCTTAATCGCATGTTATTTTTGAAATTTGTATTGTTTCAGCAAAAAGTAATGACACAATTAGTATGTCTGAGGCATGTGCACAAAGTTTTGTATTTTTTGTCGCTGGATTTGAAACTTCCTCATCGACGACTACATATTGTTTGTATGAATTGGCTCAAAATCTAGAGATTCAAGAAAAGTTACGTAATGAAATTAATACTGCACTTGGAGGTCGTACTACTTTAAGTTATGAGGATGTGCACGCAATGAGCTACCTCGATAAAGTTGTGTCGGGTAATTCAACATGCAATTTTTTTTTAACATTTTATCTACTTTATTTATTTCTGTTTTAAATATCTGATTATTGCACTTTTGTGATTTAGTTTCTTTTATTAATTTTCGAATCAATTTTTGAATTTATTTTTGAATTTATTATTGAATTTATTTTTTAATTTATTTTTGAATTTATTTAAAATTTATTTTGAATTTATTTTGAATCTCTTTTTTAACTTATTTTGAATTTTTTTCTACTTATTTTTGCATTTATTTTTGAATTTATTTTCCTATTAATTTACCATTTATTGCGCAGAGACATTGAGAAAGTATCCGATACTTCCAATTTTGAATCGTATCTGTTTGAAGGATTACAAAATTCCCAATTCTAATTTCACCATTAAAAAGGGAATGAAATTGATTATTCCAATATTGGGTTTGCAAAATGATCACAATATTTATCCAAATCCCGATAAATTCATACCAGAGAGATTTAATTCTGATCAGGTGGCGAAAAGACATGCATTCACTTATTTACCATTTGGAGAAGGACCGAGAATTTGTATTGGTATTGCTTGCTAAAGAATATAATTATTAAAAATAATTTAGTGTTCTTAATAATTTAATGGAAATATTTTATTGTTTCAGGTAAACGATTTGGTCTATTGCAAGTAAAAGTTGCTCTAATTAAAATACTGTCTGAGTTTAGAATTACAGTTTGTAAGAAGACTGAGATTCCATTGAAGCCAACGAAGCGTAATTTACTTATTATGCCTGAAAGTGATGTCTTCTTGGGTGTTGAAAGATTAATAAAGTAATTTTTTTTGAGTGACTTTTTTTATTGATTTCTCGAGGGCTGTGTTTAAAAATATAAAAATCTATGAGGATCTTTGTATAAAATGTCTCGCGTGACTTGAATTTCTTACCCCCCCCCCCCATAGTTATTAACAAATATTATAAATATGTTTTTCCCTTTTCTCTAATATTGTTTAATAATTTGTATTTTTTATTGCATACTACAAATAACAATTAATAATAATAAATAAAAATATTTATATAATGCATTACATTTACATTAGATATATAAATATTCTCTACTATTTTTAATTATTATTCAATTTAATATTAAATTAGAAAATAATTAAATAAAAAAAAGAATTGAAAATAATTTTTTTTTTTGTAAATGTAAATGAAATTTTCAGGCACTTGTTTAAATGTATATGTGCATGCACTGCGCTCTGTCAGGAAATGAAGCAAATCGGTGTATAGATAGGACTTTGATAGGGGAACATTAAAGGACTATCTGACATTGAGATACTTAGAAATTTCCAGCAGCTGATTATTTGCCTTAGTGAATTTTCTTTCATATATATGTGTATATAAACGAACCCTCTATTCTTCCCAAATTGCATTTAAACCCTTCTTGTTCTACTTTCTAATGATCTTTTAAATATTATCACTTATGTACCTACACAATACGAAAGCGCTATGCACTCCAATTTTATTGTTTTACATTTTTAATCTTAATTTTAATTACAAATTAAATTTAATGTAATCCTTTAGGGTTTGTATTTTTGTATTACCATTTAATTATATTACCTATTAAATAATTTTGTGATTTTTGTACTTTCACAAAATATTTCTGATCAAAGGAAAATATATCACAGCATTTATATATTATACACTTTAAATTTAAAAATTGCAAATTACTTTTTGCTTATTTAAAACCGCAGAATTTTTATTGTTCAAAATTGACTGGTGAGCAAGAAATTTATTAAAAGTTACTATAAATTGTTATAATAATAATAATTATAAGAATAGTAATAATTAATAATTATAATAATATGATAAACAATAAGAATTATTTTATTAGTTTTTCTATAATTTAATTTTTTATCAATTTTAATAATTATTATCTGAAACTAGTTTTTCAGTTAATTTAATTTTTTATCAATTTTATTAATTATTATTATCTGAGACTCAATGGAACGGTTTATTTCAGAAAAATGAGTTTTTTTTATGTATCTATAGTATTTTTAGAACGATAGGACACAATTCGCGATGGAAAAAAAATGAAACAAATCCCATTGGGAAGCACAAGTATCCAAAGCCACTCAATGACCGCATGGACAGGAAAAGCTTAAAGCTTCTCTTTGTGCTTTTGTGGTTAATACGATCCAATTCAGGTCTTTCTCTCTCTCACTCACTCACTCTCTCTTTCTACTTGGTGCAGGGCAACGTAGTGGTATCAGAATCCTAAATCCTGTTTTGCGTTCATTGTTCGCCGCCTATCCAGCTTTTCGTCCTTTCAAAACTTCCGAAGCTCCCTATATCTCCCCCTCTTCTATTTGTACATACGTGCAAATGTTTTTCTGCACTCAAGTTTACATTTTCGTGATTTTCTTCTAGCTGCGTACTTGTTGAATGCTAAATTATCTTTGAAATGATTCAAAGATAATTTTGCATTCGTGCAAAGAATGTTTTAGGTTTTAGGAATAGTTAATTAAGGAGCTTTTTGAAAATCACACGAAAAGAATGGATTGAGTAACTTTTACTATACTTTTATAGTAATATTCCCAAAGTGTAAGGAATTTCTGGGCATTTCTAGCAACTTTTATTATTTTCGGAGTCAATTTTGCTACGTTACAAATTTTTGGTAGATAATTATTATTTTCTTGAAAACTTTTTAATTTTTTTTAATACGGGGTTGCTACAGATTAGGGAAGTCAGGGAAATTAGAATTTGTCAGGGAAATCAAGGAAAAATGAGGGATTCTTATATTAACAGTACTGGAAAAAAATAATTTTTCTGAATTTAAAAGAAAACTTACATAAAAATTCCAAAATTAATTGGATTTCAAAAGAGTTGCGTTTACAATCTTCATAAATAGATGAACTTCAAAAGTTTCAATTTTAAATTTTAGAAAATATCAATTTTTTATTAATTTAAATAGAAATTTTAAGAACAACTGATTACAGAAATTCAATTATTCTCAAGAGTGATAAACTTCTTTGCAACAATTAAATTATTTTTAATTTTTTAATGAAGTTTCTCAAAGGAATTCAAATGTATTCAGAAAATTAAAAAATTAGTTCTGAGATATTCAATTATTTCGAAAAATTTTAAAAAACTTCTTTTAAAAATTCTATTATTTAAAAAAATCTTGACAAAATTCTGTACAAGATTTAGTTAATAAAATTGCAATTTTAATCAAATTTTCCTTTATAATTCAATTATTTTTAATACAATTTATCTAAAGAATTCAATATTATTTTCACAAATAATACATTTTTTATGGGAATTCAATTATTTAAAAACATTTAAATAAAATTCCTCATAGGAAATCAACTATTCTTATAAATAATAAAATATTTCTCAAGAAGTCAATTATTTTAAAAAATTTGAAAAAAATTCTTCATAAGAAATTAATTAGTTTCATAAATAATAATATTTTTCTCTGTAATTTATTTATTTGCACAAATAAAATTCTTCTCAGGAATTCAATTCTTTAAAAATTTTTTAATAAAATTCGTTGCTAGAATTCAATTATTTACATAAATAACAAAAGTTATCGCAGAATTTCAATTATTTTTTGTACAATTTTAAATAAAATGATAGAAAATTGCATTTATTCGTGAAATTTTTTTTAAATTCGCCGAAAAATTCAATTATTTAATAAATGATTTATTTTTTTATTTAAATAATTGACTTCTCGTAGATTTTTCTAATAAAAATTGATTCGAAATTGAATTTTTGTTAAAATTTTAAATAATAATTGATTATTAAAAGCATTATAGCTTGAATTTTAAGAAATAATTAAATTTTGAGAAGGGTTTAAATAAAAATCTTTGAAATTTGAATTTATAGTTACAATATTCTGATGATATAAAATAATGATTTTATCACTCTGTCATCTTAAATTTGTTACAAAACATTATTCTCAAAAGTTATCGAATTTCAGAAGGTTTGAATTTGAAAATCGTAATTCATAGAAAAATAATAGGTAATGATTGAATATTTATTTAAAAAAGAAATTATTGATGTTTTTGAATTTTAGAATTAAAGAAAATCGTAAATAAATGTAATACAACATTTTTTTGAAAATCTAATAATTTTTGGAATGAATCAGAATAGTTTTCTGAAAATTATTACAAAGTATATTAATTCTTACATATAAAAGAAAATAATTATAATTAAAGTAAATATAGTAATCAGAAATTAAATTTAGTATAAGACTGAAATTAAAGGAAAAGTATTTAAAAAAATTATTAAATGGAAATTAATAGAGAGACATTAATTTTAGTACAATATAAGACTTAAATTTAATTCTTAATAATAACATATTTACAAGTAAATTGAATAGAAAGAATAACTAAAAGAAAAAAATGAAATTTAAATTTTTCTTAAAATAAATAATAATTAAATGTATTATAAGCCTGAAATTAAAAAATATTAGTTTACAAATCAAAATTGTTTTTAAACAATTGTATGAATTGTAATAAATTTTTAAATAAAATAAATAAAAAAATATATTAAATAAGATAAACATAGTAAGTAAGATAATAAAAATAAATGAAGTGAAATAAAAAAGAATTTAATAAATAAAAAGCAATAAAAATATTAAACGAAAAGTTAAATTTAAATTCTCTATGGTATTGTCAGTATTGCACATATCGACCGTCACTCAGCTAGCTTATCCAGTGAAGAACAACTCCTTACCAACGGTAATTACAAGCAGATAATTATTTTAAAAAAATTAAAAATATCTTATTGTTAAATTATTTTTTATCAACAATTTAAAATAATGTTAAAACAATATAGTCAAATATTAATTTACAATAATTTAATGTTTAGAATTTTTTCTAAAAATTTATACTTAAGCATCTATTTTTATAAAAATGAATTTTTTCACAACAAAATTTGCAAAATTTTTAGTAATTTAAATATTTTTTTTCGCACATAATTGATTGATGTTCGAATAAGTAACATAAAGTAGAGTAAAAACAGTTCTATTAATGTTGTACTACCTACCGGTATTTTTTTTTATCTGAAGAGTAGTTCGTCTCTTGTGCAATAGATGGCAACACCATGTCCTCTGAACTCAAATAATTTATAAATTTTCTAATAAATATAAAATTGTTATAATTATAAATTTTTGAATAATATTTAATTATTAATATAATTATAAAAAAAACAATAGATTTTTATTGATCAAAATAGTACAAAAGACTTTCCATCTCATGTTTATTTTTAATCACATATTATTTTTACTGCGGATATTAAATTAATTTTTTTATTTTCAAAATTACATTATTTTTATTATTTTATTAGTAATTATTATTTTAAAATAATAATTAATCAATTAATTATAAAAATAAAAAATCGTAAATTAATAAAATAAAAGTTAATAGTGAAATAGTTTTGAAAGAATAACAGGAACAAAATCTGGTTTTCTAAAAACAATTTTCCATTAAAGAGTAAATTAGATATTCAAAAGTTTCATTTATAATTATTATTCTTTTTTTTGTTCGTTTGTAACTATATATGAGTAATTAATATTTGTCTAATGAATAAACGATAAGAGCATTTACCACGAAGGCAAAATCAATATTACCTTTTCCAATGGTCGTTTTACACTTAATTGCTTGTTATATTAATTAAAATTCACTGTACACAACTATCAACTATAGACAATTACTCGCGCTCAAAACAATAAAATTAAACGGATTGTAATTGGAATCATTTTTTATTTTGTTGTATCTCTAAAAAATGAGCCATGGTCACTTCCTTGTGCTTTGAAGCGACAAATTAAAGAATTTAATTGAGGATGTTAAATTTAAATAATCTGTGGATAAAATTTGTTTGTTTTTTTTATAGAATGCAATTTTTCCAATTGGTACTCAATTTATACTTTCAATCAAACAAAATTAATTGAACGCTTTATGCAAAAAATG